CATTAATACCATCTCCATCCTTTTAGTAGTAAGAATGATGGCTGCTCCGACATTTAATTAGTCGTAATCTATATCTGTCTGTAGAATTTTTGAAAATTCATCAAGTTGTCGTGATAAAAAGGCTTAAGACTGCGCTACAATATATAAATCGAAATAGAGTGATATAGCCATGGCGACATATGTATAATTATAGAATAGATATCAATGCACAATACAGGTAAAAAAATAAAAATATGTGGTATTACGCGCTTTAATTAAGAAGGTCAGATTGCAATTAAAATTCCCATGTAGCGTTTTCATATTATGAAACGACTCCCGTCGACTACATATGACTAATCTTTAAACACATAAGTGAGGGAGTTTGGATATATATGTGGGTGGAGATGAATGTCACCCTAGGCATTTGTGTATTTGGTCGTATAGTATACATCAGTTGGTGCGTTATTAATTGTTTGGCTTTAGTTTGGCTCTATGAATTGTGCTTCTCCGTCTTTCGCGTTCATCATCTTTTTTTGTTGCCTCATTTTCGTTCTTTCGTGATGGTATGCTTCTCTTTTTTTCACGAGCCATTAGAAAGAATGTCTTCATCTACTCTGCACATATAACCTAAATTACAATTGAAAAAAACACATTGTTCCCCCAGGAAATATCTATGGAAACTACCTGCCGAGTCTATAAAGGGACCAACATTCGTCTATATTAAATTCTTTCGACGCTCTTACATGTTTTCCAAATTTGTGATACCGTGGCACGTGTTGCGTAAAAGTCGTTGGTGTTATAGGAAAATGTAAGCATGTTGTATCGACAACGACATAGAGTCTAATTTAATGCAGTTTATGTCTTCTCACGCATATTACATCGCCTGGTCACATGCGTGGTTCGCGCGACCTCGCTCTTGCGTATTGAACGGCACACCTTTAACAGAGCATAATCGGTGTAATAACGCACATTGATAATCGACCGTTCTGCAAGGTTCTCAGGCCCTATGCAAGGCCGCCTCCTTGGTATCTGCAGTGGATTGCTACTTCGCATGACTGTGCGACCGCCGCGAGTGCGTACCGATGATTTATCAAATTTTAATATAGACGTATGCTTGGCGTCTGTCTGTTCTACGCCTCATAAGATTGTAATTTGAAGCTATCAGTCGCTCCGTGACCTAACATGATCTGCCTCCTCTTCTTCGCTCTTGTTTTTCGTCCGATGTAGAGTGTAGGTCAAATCATTTTTGAGCACCTTTTTTAGTAAATGTTTTAGTACACACTGACTCTTTGATGCGTAATCCCCCAGTTGAACGGCCCCTCCTTAAGTACCGTAACCTCTTTAACTAGGTACTGCACAATTATACATACAGAATGCCATATAGATATTATTTGCTTGTACACACCCGTCCGTAATACAGGCCTTTTTTGTGTCAGTACGCAGCCTCGCGTATGAAATCCGCACTTTTCATTCGGTACAATTTCTATAAGTACCCCTCACACTAACATTTCCCCTATGAAATAGGTAGTTTTTATGCAGGTCATCCGGACTGAGATTCGTCAAATGTCCAGTGGACTTTAAGATCGAAATGATGGCGTTCATATCCTCGATCAATACGAACTGCGCGATAACCTTATCGTCCCAATCGCGCACAAAAATAATGTACGATTCAAGTGTCACGCAAAAATGCTCGCCCATGATGGCCTTTTCCGTCTCGTACCGCGCAGCAGTAGGCCTGTACACCTTATTCGATCAAAAACCGACCCTTAAGCAGCTGCTAGTAATCGACAGCAGCCCCAAAAGAAATAATACCAGACGCCTTGTCAATAACCAACCGTCGCATCAACAGCGTCGATCTGAGACAACACAAGTTGCGCGCGGCGACAGTCGTCTGCCCCACGAGCTTACAAATCACGTCGGCGCACGAGCACTCGTTCTTTGCAGGAAAAAATCATCACAAATGCTAATCTTGCGATTGTACGGCGCTGATGCATTGTCATAAGTCGACCGTAGTGAATTCGAGCACCTGAGCCGGTCAAATTAACATTTCACAGCTACAAAAAGTCAGCAAATAATCATCCAGACGTCGGATTTAAACAGACACAAGTACCCAGATGTGTATACGTGCCACCTGCTCACCTGGTCGAGTCGCGATAATTAGCCACCAGAACGATCGTGCGACATCCATTGACAATCGACCGTGTTAGTTTCAGTCGCTGCAACAGAGAAGTGACAGCTGCTCCGTTGTCGTCCGTGTGCAAACGCCGCTCTGCTCAGCAACGAGACGGTCTCCTGCGGTCGTGCATGTAGTGTACTCTAGTAAATAGAGGAACTTGTACAGCACCACAACGAGACATATGGCAGATACGACAACGAGCAGAGCAACGCGCAGGTCACATGCTGCGTCCTTTTGCTTCTCGCCGAGGGAGCTCACGCGGCCGTACGGCTAAATTGCTGTTCGTATCTCAGGCGTTGTTGGCGTTATTCTGGTTGCTGTTAAAAAATAAGTGAAACGATAGTATTTTAAGCACGTACCGATTAAAAAGAGCGGATTTTATACGCAAGGCTGTGTGCTGACACAAAAAAGGCCTGTATAACGGACGGGTGTGTACCAGCAAAAAATATTTATATGACATTTGTATGCATAAGTGTGCAGTACCTAGTTAGGAGGTTACGGTACTTAAAGAGGGGCCCTTCAACAGGGGGTGTACGCATCAAAGGGTGGGTGTCTACCTATAAATGTCCCTTTTTAAATTTCATGCTGTTTACTTTCAACAATGTCCCGTCTAAGTGTAAGCGTCGTGTGGAGATGGCAGCGCGGAGAACAAATCACGTAGACGTCGTACACACGATGACTGACCGGAAGGATCGATGCAGTATGGAATAATTTGCGATACCGAATGCCTAGCAGGCATCGATACGTGACGCGATACAAGGAGCTTGTGCGGCTGAACGCATCGACAGTATTCCATGCTTCGCTGGTACGATTACAATGGACAAACATATCATAGCCCACAAATGTGCGCCATGATGTACGTCGCTGAACCTGCACAGTCGATGATCGAGTCCAACGCATATTGGTATGTATGTAAACTGCTTGCCGCTAAGTTTGACCGACCTCAACATTCGTTTTGCAGAATCGACTCATTTCCCCTCACTCGAATTGATCAAACAGGCAGACGGACGTTTTCGATGAGGTATGCCATGAAGTGTTGATACACTTCGAGACTGTCATATGTTCGCATACGCTTTCGTTGAGGAAGTGACGCTTCGTCTATCTTTTCGTCGGTCGAACTATTACGCACTATTCAGTGCATTACGCATGCTGGCTACTGGTTTGGCGAATATCATGTGGGCCCACGTGCGGGTGGCAAATTTAGGTTTTAGTCTTCCATGCAAGTTGTCACACTGCCACCCATTCCTGGCCGAATGAGAAGTGGTTCGGATGGTACGTTGGGTCCTTAGAATCGTGGTGAAGTCGCACACAGAAGCTCGACTTGTGTTGGCTCATGCGGACAGTATATGGCCCTATCCTGATCCTTCGAAGTCAAAGAGCGGGTGGCAACATCTGGATAAACAGAGTGGCGAAGACGCAGTTCACGACGCAAGCAAAAGATAGCTAGGTGTAGACGCGATAGCTTAAGCGTACATCATCAGCACTTCTTAGTGATGGAAGCCGCTCGATGTTGTGTTATATGCACGGACGTCATATCGCATAAAAAACCCGACGAAGCGTCGATGCAAAAGACAGAAAAAGGTACCTTTCTTACACTGAGAAGGACTGTGATGTCGGCTGGAAAACGGTGTCGTCATGGTCGTCTGTAGCGACTTCGCGTGTGGAATTGGTCCATCTCGAGCTCAACATGTACAATGCCTAAGCCAAGTAAGGACTCTGCATCGCGAGAAGAGAGGGAGCACAAGCTGAGAAGAGCCACGACGTACCACAGGTGGATGTGTTGGAGGGACTCAGGTGTCTGCGCGGCAAAGAGACGAGCAATCGATCCTTGCCAGTTAACATGACCACCACACGAACAACCAGAGCAAAGGTGTCGCAAGTTCCTAGCAGCCCCAAGGGCTCCAACGACAGAAGCTACGAGCACATCTCTTGATGAGAAGATGTGTATTGCTACCAGTTGGATTTATCAACGTCTGTAGCGTTTTTTTACAATATTTAGTGAGGCATAATGCTGTCATTGAGATGCTACAACTACGTCAACGGCATTGTTTGTATTGCACGACAAGAGACTGCATGTTGTAATGTCGCCACGGTACATTCGACAACCACATCGTTGCAGTGGTCTGAATGCACTGCGATCTTACGTTGATGAAGAGAAGAAGCGCGTGTGGTCGCATCTGTTGTGTCCATACTGATGTGTGCCGGAGCTGTTGCCGTCGATTGCGGCGCACCTTCAAGCCGCCTCTTTTGCAGTGCTCACTATGTGAAGGGGTTTCAAGTAACTCGAAGCATTCATTCTGTCAAGCTGGGAAAACGTGACAATCCGTAAAGCAACGAGGTAAGCCTTGCGTTACGGACATCCCCTACACCTAGGCTATTCCAACCACTTCGTCCTGGATGTTGTGGCAGTGTCGAGACGGCCACTACCAGTGAGCCGCAATGTTCACTCCCTTTAGTGTGCGGAGCTCTGGGCACATGAGCGCAAGACAAATCATCGCGTTGCACTGTATTATGCGCGTCACCCACCGAAACAATGCACAAACTGCTTTTCACACTCGAGTCCGAGTCGAATTCAATCGTCTTCCGCCGCCTCAGTAACGTGAAAGGAGATCTGATACGCTCCGTGATTAATAACAGGGCAGAAATGAGCACTAGATGCTGGGTCTATACGTGTTGGCGACGTAGGAGACTGGAACAACAGTACGAATGGCAGTAACTGTTTACTAGAATTTGTAGGTACACTACCTGCACAGTACATCTCCAAGTGCAAAGCAGTCAAGCACAGCGCCGGTCCAGTGCTTACGCTTGTGCTCTGCTTAACACACTCAGTTCGCCTCTGTGTGGCCTACGCGTCATCCTTCGGGACGACTCTCTCACTCGCGGCATTGGCCGTTGGCTTGTTCTCGGCAACAACAGACGGGTTCTCGACACTCGGTTGTGGCTTGGGCTCAGCACGAACAGGAAGCTCCTCGGGAGACACAGGTGGCTTGGGCTGTTCTGCAGTAGGGCGACCACCCGCGTTCGCTGCTCCATTAGGAATAGTTTCGGAGTGAGCTCCAGTAGGGTGAACGCCCGCGTTCGCTGCTCCATTGGGGTCGACAGCGCGAGTAGCTCCAGCAGTCCCGACAGTTCCGGCGTCTTCAACCGCGTCCTCGAGTTTCTTGCCATCGGTCGCGTCTGCAGTGTTGCCTTCACCGACCGGTTTGACTTTGGCCTTGTGCGACTTGATCCACGCCATGAAGTCTCGGAAGAGCTTCGATTTATTGAGTAAATTCACAAACTTCTCCCATTGACGTTTCGTCCAAGAGAGTTTTGTCGTCGCCTGGGTTTCTTCGACGTGTTGCCCTTTGGCGGCAACCCCTCCATGGGTTTCTTCAACGTGCTGCCCTTTGGCAACAGCGCCTCCCTGGATTTCTTCAACGTGTTGCCCTTGAGCGGCAACCCCTCCTTGGGTTTCTTCGACGTGTTGTACTTTGGCGACAGCTCCTCTTTGGATTTCTTCGATCTGTTGACTATTGGCAATAGCCGTTTCCGCCAGCCGGGCGTTCGCCCCTCCGCCAACTTCTCCGGCATGAAGTACACCACTGAGAGCCTTTTCGAGTTTCGGCGCCGCTTCTTCAACGACTGCTCCACCAGGAGCTCTCTCCTCAAAATCCGCAGGCAGCATCGACTCATCGTCGTCAAGAGCCTCGCGCAGAAGCCTCTGCGTGTCCACGTCGTAGGCGTTGCCGTCCGTCACGCGAGCCACAAGAGACACGTCGGACTCGAGCAGCGCGTTCGCGTCGGCACCAGTCGAAGCCGCGTCGCTCGAAGCGAAAACAGCGACGAGAGCGGCAGCAGCGGAGTAGACAAAACGCATGTTCTACTTGTTCCCGTCGAAAAGGCCGAGCGAAAGTGATGCGAAGCGGTTGTGTGTGGTGACGGTCGTAGATCCAGCGGTAGTGATGGCGGAGATCGTGACGCTGGGATTGTGGCGGTGGCGGTGGCGGTGCTAGTGGTGGCAGTCAAATGGCAAAGTGACACTGGTGGAGCAACACGCGCGCGGAGGTCTTCGACCTTTGCTCAGCTATCGGATTCAACAGGTCTGATCCGAAGAGGCTCTTGACCGGCTTTGACGACAACGCCAGCCCTTGCCTTTCATTCTCTTTCACAGTGCCCATTGCAGTTTGGACCGCGACCAGCGCTTTGTGCCCTTTGCACGTCTCGAGACCTTCTGGCGGTGAGCGCTGCCAACAGCTGACAGGAAGAAGCTCAGCTTGACGCGTCACAAGGCCAGCAAAAAAGGGCCGTCACTATGCCACTGTAGCGCGTGTGTCTGCACATTGCTGACCGTCTGTTTGTACAAAGAGCTGCTCACGGGAACGAAGATCTGATCGCCAGGCTGGTCGCGCGACCGAAGTGGTTCCAGGGCTCGTCTGCGTTTGAAACAGGAGGATTTGGGGCACTAGTGAACCAGTGTCTCTGGCACGCCTCTGATAGAGATGGGCCATACAGAACAAGCGCGGGCTTGAGCTGCAGTCCTTTGACTGCACAGACTGAGGCCTCGAGCGAGAAATCCAGTGCTCCCTCGAGCAGGCGATATGGAAAGCAGCTAGCTATTTGAAAACATAGCGGAGGTTCTTCCGAAGGGCACCGCTACCAGTCCGTGTGCAGTAGGTGACAGCCGTCTCTTCGGTGTCTCCGTTCTTTGTGTATGTACGTGTGTTTGCGAGTCACGCCAAGACAAAACACGGGGACCCATTCACAAAGCGAGCACGTCTTTCTCGCAACACAGTGCGTACGTTGCGGTCGATGTTCGCACTGATGGACAGCTCAAAAAAGAGCGGTACGTTGTGGTTGCGGTGCGAGATGGCGCTCACGGAATACTTACTACTCACCTACTGACGAACAACAGAGCTGCACCGATAAGGCAAATTTGGCATGCAGAACACTGTCGTTATCCGTCGTACTTGGACAACGCAAACGTAAGTAGTCAATGGTCGCTCAGCTCGCTCGACTGTGGACAGAGCTCGCCCGCAGCCGTTCTCCTTGTCTTCAGTCAATTTATATCTGCGGTTGCATTTGATATTGTTGTCGTGCATAACCAAGACCAGTCGTCGTCTCTCTTTGCTCTCGTTTTTCTCGGTAACACATCAGCGACACCATCGAGTTGCTTCGCTACTCAACATCCACGGCAGCACCTGTACTTGTTAACATTCCACAAGGCGCAACCCAACTTCTAGCCACGGACCTTGACCATCCGAAATGGGAGCGTGAGCATCCAAGGCTTGATCAAGTATTCTGGAGTGGGTTTCCCATACCAAAGGGTGAGCTTCCGAGCTTGCCCTTCTATCGTAGATAAGAACACAAGTCAATATACATCAACTGATGGAGGAACGGACCGTGGTAAACGAAACGAGCGTCGTTCCTCCACCAAAATAACTGCACAAAGACCAAGAGAGGAAACTAAGTATACTCGTCTGAAAACCACTGACAAGGGGCTTTGCAGGTTCCCGAAAAGGTCGGCCACGTATCCGCAAGTGTGAGACACGAGCCCTACAGTTGTCCATGTCTTGGAATGTTGCACCAGCTGAAGTTGTTTGAGACGAAGTAGGTAGTAGTATCTCGACACCATCTCCTTTCGGTTCACGATGCCTCGTCGCAAGGAAGGAGGGCCTAAAGCTTGCCACTTTCATGTATCCACCTCTTTTACCAACAACAAAGGCCCGCGTTCAGGCGATTTGTAACGGGGTTATCACGTCGGCTGATAGTCGACGATAGGTGTGGTGCACACAAGAGAGGGGGTACCCTATTAAGTAATTTTAGAACACAGTGAGTGAATCAATTGTTGAAGACTGATGTCTGTCATCAATTTGATTACGAGATCTTTTAGAGAGGTTACTTTGATGGTGACTAGGTTAAGTACATTGTTCTATGGTGTTCTTTTAGGTTTAAAGAAGAAATAAAAACTCAGTTTCCCTTTTGATCAACATGAAAGGCACGTGCCTTGCGAGGCGTCTTTGATCGGATAGGAGCTAGCAACACCTGTAAAGGTAGCTGCTCCTGAGCACTCTGTGCTGTGATTCTCTTGAATCGTTTGGTCTCTTAGGAACGGGGACCGTAAGCTCTCTGAGCTTGTTGACTCTCTGAGTCGGGTTCGTAGAACCAAAGTTGCTCGTAAGAGCGTTAAGTCTTCCTCTGACTTAAGGAGCTGTGTAGCTCCGCTACATTTGGTAGCACTTGTAGTCAATCTACGCCTGAGTCGGTAAGGACTGATCCTCTGTTAGGATGGAGCAATCCACACCCCTCTCTGAGGCCCAAAAGGTCGCGCTTGATAAGCTGACCGCGGCCGTAGGCCCTGAGTACGTGGAGTTTCTCGCTGCACAAGGTCCCGATGTGCTCAATGCACGAGTCTAGACCTTAATGCAGTATGAGACGGCCCTGTTGGGCCAGGTTCAAAACCAAGTAGCGTCGGCTATGCCGACACGCTATGTGGCTATGCCACCAGAAGAGGCTAAGCCTCGTCCCCTTCGGGTGGACGTTAAATGTTACTCCGGGAAGGAGGAGGAAAACCTTACCCTCTGGATCCGTGAGATTGAAATGGCCATGGACTCTGGTCTCATCTCACTTGAGAACCAGAGGATATCGTTGGCTATCTCTAAGCTCGATGGAAGAGCAAGAGAGTGGGCTTTGACGTGTGGCACGTCGGTCAACTTGGCGTTTCCCACATGGGATTGGATCAAATTAGACCTTTTGCGAGTTTTCTCGCCGCCTACCCAGGCTTATCGCGTGCGCTCACGCTTCTTGTCTACCCGTCAGGGAAAGAATGAGTTAAACGACTATGTCCAGTGTTAAAACTCTGATGGCTGCTGTGCAGCCTGACCCTCTCCCTGAGACAGTCTGTATGACTGTCTTCATGGAAGGTCTTCGTAATGACGTTGCCAAAACAGAGGTGTTTCGGGTCCATCCCTCTACTTTTGAGGAAGCTGTTACCATCGCTCAAAATGCTGAGCACAACTTCAAGTCGGCCAGACTTGGTTGGAATAGGTACAACTTAAGCTTTGCGAGGGCAATCTATGCGAGCACCTCGGCTTACTGTAAGCCAGAACCGATGGATCTCAGCCATGCTGACGACGAAGATGAAGCGGAGCTTCATGTTTCAGAACAACGACAGGAAGTGAGACGCTGTTATATAAGCGGAAGCACTAAACATTTGCGTCCCACTTGTCATTTGCGCAACACAACCGACTCCTATGGGTCGAAACCCCAGCCACAACCAGAAACCTGGTATGGCACGGGAAAGGTCGACATCCAGTAGGTAAGGGGCGCCCTACTGGGGGAGAACTGAGTTCTTTTGCTTCTCTACGAGGTAGAGTGAAACAGGACTTAGACCACCGAGCTATCTGCCCGCCAGCACAGAGCTTGGATAAAACCCTAACTTTGTAGTCGCCGAGGCGAAAGTTGAAGGCTTTGAGAAGTATTGGTCGATCCTAATCGACTCCGGAGCATCATGATATTATGCTCGACGTCGTTCCCTTGAGGGAAGTCAACGATACGCTGAAGCGCTCAAAGCGCAAAAGGGTGATTCAATCACCGTTCGTTCAGCGACTGGTAGTCGCGTCACGGTACCTAAAGTTCCATTGAACTTAGGTGTAAAGTTTTTGGACTTTGACAGCAATGAAAGCTGTCAAGCCCTCATTTTGGATTCGATCTATGATCTGATCCTGGGTATGGCTTGGCTTGAACGCCATGAGACATGAATTGATTGGAGGTCTAAGACCTTAAGCACCACACGCAATGTTCCTAGCGAAGCTTTGGAGAGCCATAAATCTATATTTCCTAGGCAACAAAAGCGCTATTGGAGCGAGCCATTGACGGAAGATGTCAATGTGCTGGACATTGATGTGTCAGAGATCATTAACTTTAATGTCAATGACATCAATATTGAGCGGAGCTCTTTCACCGTATGTGAAGAGGGTTGTACTCCGTTAAGTGATACTCGTTGTGATAATGAGTCACTGCATGCTGCAGGCATGGTTGGACTAACTTCGAGACATCAAGAATGTAATTCCTCTGATGTGAGTGGGGTGGTACGTGAAATCTTACCGAGTGAGGGCGGCCGATGTGGCACCCCACATAACGTCGGTAATGACATTGATGGCGAGAAGCCAGAGTGTTCAGGACTAGGCCCGGATGATATACGTGAAGTGGTACGTGTAAAACCACTGGGTGAAGTGTTCGAGTTACGTAACACTTCACCAGATGTCATTCTAGAAATGAGCTCTCGTATAGAGCGTGCTACGATAAATAGCAACCACGGAGACCCTACTGTCCTGGCCTCTAGGAGGCGTAAGTTTTCTTTTGAGGAAACAATCCCAGCGTAGGGTGGCAACTGTTAAGCGCCCAACTTCTAAGAATTCACGAAGTGATAATAGTAATAATACCCTATACACACTTGTCAATGGGTTGACTGGCCATATTGATGGCGATATTAGTCTTGAGACTCTTTATCTTTGGATACTCTCTTTGAACTAGACGAAGTTTCTGACGGCGAATTTAGCCAAGCCTTACAGGCAGGAGTAGTATCCGAGTTCGTGGTCATTCGGCCGGATAATCAGTTAAACTCATCCTCGTTACTGGACGAGTCTGTCCTTGAGAACACAGAGACGGCATTGGATGCCCGTAGTGGATCGTCGATCCTTAAGGATCCTCTCGATCCGTTCTGTCCTTTGGCAAAGGAGTTTCAAGACGTGGTGTGTCACAACCCACCATCCGTCTTACCTCGCGATAGAGGTGTGCGTCATGAAATTGACTTGGTTCCTGGAACTCAATACTGCGTAACACGGCAGTGACCTTTACCGAAGGAACAGTGTGACTTCA